CGCCATTGCAACCGTGAACAAACGCTTTGCCTTTTTCTTTCTGTTTGGCCTTTGATGGACTTTTTTTTTGGAGGGAAGTAAATAAATTTATTGTCTAAGCTATTTTTTGACATCAAAAGCTGGTTACTTATGTTTTTGGATAATCGCCAATGAAGCGATAGAGCTATTTTCAACAAAGATTAACTATTTTAAGATGGGTGGTGAAAAGAACTTCCAAAACACTATTAACACGTAATGGTGATGAGCATAACAAACCGAACCAAACCGTATGGAATTGAAAATTTTAAACCGAAACCAAACGGTGACTATTTACACTTTTAGGACATTATACCTTTTATTACAGATATTAGATGACAATGAACAATCAGATGAATCGAAACTATAGTTTATTTAAATGAATTCGTACCGGGACGATGATCCGAGGTTCGGTTTGGTTTGCGTAGGTAAGACGCAATCCGTGTCTTTGCAAATCAGCCATTTCAAACCTTTCTCCTCCTTCTTAGTCAGCTTAGACGCTACCGTCTTGATTCCACTCTTCATATAATTCACAACAAACATTGCAGCCTCTCTGCAATTAAAACCATTTCCCAAATTCATTCAAACCATTATATTATCTATGATCATCAAAGACATGTTTTCTCTGTATGTGAGTAACTTACAAGGGTGAGCAAGGAGATCGAGAACCGTTGATGAAGTAGACAAACAAGAACGCATCAAAATGCTGTCGATTGATTATATAGAAACCGTTTAATCTCCGCACGCATCTGAACATTAATCTTTGGTACAACCGGATCGCGAGATTCTTGTGTGCGATCACATGAAGGTAAACTCCTCGGCACATCGATAAACTAGAAGCATATTTAATCACCTCACTAATTAGTGACATTGCTGACAAATAAAAGAGAAGCAGAAAAGTCAGAAATTATAGACCACGCAAACAGGTTGCAGATTGATTATATGAGTCATACCGATTCCATGGTTTCTGTATGTTTCTACAACTCCGAGTGTCAAGATGTAGATCAAAGTATCCTCTCCTTTTGAAGAATCGTAACGTATTAGATCATCTATCTGTGCAAGACACAGAAACCATCTTCCAGCTGATGAAGATAGACATAAGAAGATAAAATAACAGCGCTTGACTTGTTTGCATAACCGAGAAATGCAATAAGTAGAGAGCGCCCCCAAAACCCATGATTCAATCATGACTCAAACAATATTACAAGCTGCTCCAGTTCTAAAGATTTTTCACAATTAGATCACTTTGCAAAAACTCCCATTCAGTGAACAAGATAACGAATCAATCTAAAACCATAAACCTCATGAACTCCCATTCAAACTCTACACATTACAAGATCTTGCAAAATCATTGCTTATAATCACAAAATTTCTGTACAACCATCCAAAAGCTTACAGAACAAAGACCCGTTTTGAGAACAGGATAAAAAACCATAAACTTTATGAAACCATTTCAACATTCAAGATCTAAACTTTACAGAGCCTTGCAAGATCATTGCTTGTAATCACAAAAATTCTGCTCACAAATCCAAAAGCTTACAGAACAAAGACATATCCAAAAAAATAATAATACCCATTTCCTGAATCCAATCACAAACCAAGCTTAAACCATAAACATTATAAACCATTTAGACACTCAAGATCCAAACTTTACATGACCTTGCAGGAACATTGCTTGTAATCACAAAATTTCTTTACAAAACTGACCTCGCTTTCTGTGGCAAGCACGGATTTGGCAGTAACAAAACCAATAAGTTCATCACAGTAACCATCAGGTCTGCTCCGATCAACAGCAGCCCATGAGACAATACCAACTCCATTCACAACACTCTGAAAAAACTCAGACTCATACCTGATAACC